GACTGTCAGCTGAGCAAGGGATTCTAGAACCTTCCTTTACTCCCTGAGGTCTCTAAGTAGAACTGACAGCTGTGACCAATGTTGCAGTAAGTTTCTGTGCCATTCCTTTCACATAAGGGTCTCCCCTACAGCATGTATGTGTAAGTTATCATACACACAGGGGAAAAAAACCCCTCACCAATCCAATTTGTGTTGTTTTCTCAAACATTTTCTCCAAGGACAGAAAAAAATTCTATTTTTGGGCCATACATATTCCTTACCTGTTACTTTTTTAAAGCTAACTTCTCTAAAGCAACACTATTGTTAACTTAGTGCAAAACCTCCATAAGCTAGGTGAGTTAAATGTGAAGGACGAAACAGATTCTTTTAGCATTATAGTGAGTGTTCCTCTTTTTCCTTTCTATCGTTGGCCATTGAATATTTAAAGACAAAATTAGAATTTGGATCTAGTCTGAGGATATATGGGGGTTTGCAGTAAGGGTTTCTAAATTGTTTATTTTCATTTTTCTCCTCAAAGGCAAGAATGTTTTCTTGAAGTTCTGAGGTAAATGGGTTGGTCAGTGTTAGAAAGTGTATGTTTGGACACAAAATCTTTTCTGTGCATGTTAGATCACAGTAGAAGCTTCTAGAAAGCAAACTATAAGCTATCCAAGTTGTACTGTAAAATAAAGCCCAAAATAATCTTTCTATGCCTGCTTGTTTCTTTTTATCTTTTTTCTTTTTTCTTTCTTTCTCTCTTTCTTTTTCTCTTTTTCTCTTTCTTTTTATCTTTCTTTTTCTTCTTTTTCTTTTTCTTCTTTTTCTTCTTTTTCTTCTTTTTCTTTTTCTTCTTCTTTTTCTTTTTCTTTTTCTTTTTCTTTTTCTTTTTCTTTTTCTTTTTCTTTTTCTTTTTCTTTTTCTTTTTTTTCTTCTTCTTCTTCTTCTTCTTCTTCTTCTGTGAAACTAATATGTGTTAGTCAGAGGGAAACTTTGAAATGTGTTTCAAAAGCTGAGGTTATTTAACCAACTTTAGAAGAGCAATGCCCCTAAAAATATTGAGGCTGTACTATTGAACATCTCCAGAAAGGCTACTGATGCAGTGTGTGTGACTAGGGAATAAAAATTTTCATCACACCTGTCTTTCAGCATGGAAAGACAAAAAGGAAGGCAAAGCAACTGATATTTAATTAATATGTTTTTTCTAAAAGAATATGGAGCTTGAAACTTTTCTAGTTGCAAAAACCTCACAGTATCTTACTGAAAGTCTGATTCATCTGAGCCCAAAAGCATATTTTCCCTGTTGTTAATCCCATCTTGATCTATCCATACTCTCTTATTTACATGTACACTGAAAAAATGTTGTGCACATGATGCTTATCTTGTTTTAAAGCAAGAGGAGTACAGCTAAAAAAGTAGTCCAGATTTGAAATTTTCTTGATTGTTAACATTCACGACTGAGATAGTAGAGTTGATAATGGTTTGTATTATACCAAAGAGATTAGGGATGCAAGGTAGAGAGAAATCAAGCTCTATTTGTTCTTGACACAACACATTTCTTGTTTTGAACACCAAAAGCGGTAACAGTGAAGTGCATGTGGGAGTTAAAAAAGATGATTTTCTACAGTACTGGCTGAAAAAATGGTTTAAATGTCTAAAAATATAGATAATATATAATATATAATATAATATATAATATACAATATACAATATACAATATACAATATACAATATACAATATACAATATATAATATATAATATATAATATAATATATAATATATAATATATATCATATATCATATATCATATATCATATATCATATATCATATATCATATATAATATATCTAGAAATATAGATAATATAGAAATAGTTATTTACTATCGTTCTGTAGGATATGTCTCGATCTGTTTGCAGTGTGGTCAGAAATAATGAAGGACTTTGAATTAAATTTCTACATTGTGCTTTTTTTGGAAAACATATTTCTGTAATGAAAGAGACATCATAATTTCATGACAGTCAGACTGCTTTGGGAGTGGCTAGAGGTGCGGATGGTAAAAAAAAATTCTGCAAATATCCTGAAGTGGAAGAAAGTAAGACGTAGCTGTTCAGATATCTCTGCATTTTCAAAGGAGTTGAAGGGAAGAAAAGAGTTACATGCTATAACCCAGGAGATTAAATGCTCTCTTCTCCTTTGAAAGGAAATGTAGTTGACCAAGTCAGAAGAGAGGCAAAATTCCAGCAGCATATGTAAGGTGGTGATTCATCAGGAGGAAGAAACCAGATCAATAAACTGCAGAATAATGCTTTCTCTCAGTTCCCAGGAATAAGGTGTGTCCTCAAGCCTCCCAGTTGCCAAGCCCACTAGCAGTGTGTGATATGAAGCATTGCCTGCAGAAGGTGCAGTTAGGGAGTGGCTAAGCCAAATGGGCATCCACAAATCCAGGTGATGAAAGGGAGCTGCATTCTAGGCTGCTGTCAGAGTTGGTGGAAGTCACTGTGAGGGCTGCTGGCTGTCACCTTACAGGTCATGACAATGAAGGAAAGTTCATGAGCACTTGAAAAGGCAGGCATTGGACCAATCTTCAAGACAGTCACATAAGAGGATCCCAGAAGCAACCAGCTGATAATGCCTCCTTCATTCTCTGGGAAGAATAGGAACAATGTGTGCCAGAAGATGGCTTGGAGGCACATGAAGGACAAAGTGACAATGACCAGGCAGTACAACTTCACTAAGGAATATTTGTGGTGGGAAACACATGAGCCTTGCTTTGTGGAGGTGACTGTCCTATTGGGACAAGGGTACAGCAGTGACTGCCCTTGCTTTGACTTCAGGACAGCTCATGACAGCCTCCAGTAATCAGCTAGGTGAGCATGAGCAGCAGAAGGGGACGGCTGTAGGAGCACTGCTGTGTGCCCAGCAGGACAAGTTCCAGCTCTGGGAACGCTGCTGTTAGTGGTATGACTCAGGGCAGTGATGGTGCTGTTGCTGATAATGGTTTGAAGTCAAGGCTTGGGTGGAAGTTGGACAGGACACCTTCTCCATGTCTGTGGGTGCCCACCCTTCCCATCTGGGGAAGGCAGGACAGCTGGTGGGAATATCCCCTGCCACGTGGGGAAGGCATCAGTTTAACAGAAGGCAGGCTCTCTTCACCCCAATCCTTCAGGCCTCAGTGCTGAAGGGATGGCACCTCCTCACAAAAAGAGGTGGGAAAGAAGGGGCCGCACGACCCTTGACCATCAACAAAAGAACTGTTTGTTGTTGTAAGATATTACAGGTGAGCCAACAAGAAGTCCACAGAGTTTGCCTTCTCCCAGCTAATGCAGGTGCCGAGGCTGAGGTAAGGAGCCAGCCAGTCACTCCTGTGATGCCACTGATGTGACTTCAGAGATGGAACCAGGGTGCACTGGTGTAGTGCCAAGTGATCCCTATGGCAGGTATACTCACTTCCATTGGCTCTTCATTGTCTTGAGGTGCCAAGACTTGCCAGTGAAAAGCCATCCACTCTTTCACTGCTTACTATTTCTACACATAGTTGAGTTTTCCTTACAAGGTATAGCTACGAATATTCCCTTGCTGTTTGGCTGCAGATCACCTCTTAGTATGTCACAAGCTATTGATGGTCTGCATGCATTTCTTCTCTAGGCAAGTACTTAAGACAGGGTTGATCTCTGTCAGGGGTTCTCCAGGGCAGTGCTTAAGGTGAAGGGATGAAAGAGCCTGCATGCATCTGCCCTGGTGGCTAATTCCCATGTACTTCATGCAAAATAAAAGCCATAGCAGAGCATAACAAAAGCTGAAGAGTAAAGAGAGGAGTTTTGCTTGCTTCTGTGGTGATTGAATCACAATCTGTTAAGGGAAAAAAAAAAAAAAGTCTTGCTGGGTTCTGTTGAAACAACGGAGACCAAGGCTGCTGAGATGTGAGTGGTATGCCTGCATTACCATGGTGATGACAGATCCCCTGGCACCCCTTTAGCCTGTGCAGCTCCACTCCTCGCTCTCACAAATCATGCTGAAACGTAAGGTAATACCCGTTGATAAGCTGTCTGCTGGACTAATGAGGAAATGTGTCATTTCTCAGCTATTTAATAGTTTCTTTCCTCCCCTTGGTTTGTGCTTTTTATCACAGCTGCTCTGCAGACCACATCCTTAGAGGGCAGGTTGTCATTTCTTTGGGTTATATTCTGACTAGCTTTTAGGTGACAGAGAGAGAGGTGGTGCAGGTTGGGAGGAGGTGCTGACAAGCCCTGTCATTTTCATGTCATGGAAAGAATTCTGGATGATGGAAATCTCAGGAAATCTTTTGCACATTCATACTGTACCTCTTGTCATGATGCCATGCAATCAGAAATAAAACATGAGCTAAGTTTAGCTAGCAAGGGTCAGAGGGCAGATTGTCTCTAGAAAACTTCCTTGGCATGGTTTGGCAGGCAGGTTATCTTTCTGTGAAGATGTTCTCCTATGATTATGTTTGTGAGTACATACCCTGCTCCAACTGTGAGTCTTTGGAGGGATTAACTCAAAAGTGTGTGGTGGGGCTGTCAGCATGCTTGTTACACATCTTGAATGAGATTACTCACTGACAGGAGGATGTCCTGTACAAAAGTAAGAGGTGCTGTGTGGTTTGTGTCTGGTACTTTCAGAGTAAGCAGTTATAAAGACCATATTCTACTTTTTATTTAATAGAATGGTTGAAATTGTAGACTTTTTATTTAATAGAATGGTTGAAATTGTAGAAAAAGCAAGCTATTTCGTTTTGCTCAGAGTTGTGCTGCAGAGTTCTGGGGGGAAAATAAAATATTTATTTAAGTGCTTTCCTATTGAAATAAAGGTCAAGTATGGTGTTTCTGCTCTGGCTAGCAGGGCTTTTATGACTGGTTTAATTCATCTTTTTCTGCTATTAGAAGTCCTGACTGCAATCCAAAGACAAAAAAAGAGAACAAAAAAGATCCAGTGCCAGAAGGGAGAAATCTTCAGTGTGAGTGAAAGTAATCAACCCTCAGTTTTGTTGACTATTACAGGAAAGTCATTTTACTGCTGGAGAGACAAGGATTCATCATGTCCCCGCTTGCAAAAATGAGAAGAGAAAGGGAGAGCCATTGGAACTGTGGATCTGATGTGTTCAGTATATCTTATGCAGATGGGTAGGTATCTAGGATTGTTATGCTAGATACCGTGCCTTATAACCAGATAGTGGAATTACAGAGTTTGAGGATAGAAATTTTTTAAAATGCCTTGCTGTTTGCTTGTAAAGCTCATCAGAAAAGAGAGGTAGCCATTTGACAGCACTGTGCTAGCCTCAAAAGAGCACAGAAGGATTACAGACACAAGCTGTACAGACACAAGCTGTGACAGGAAGTTAGTTATGGACACAGCTGTAGCTATAGAAATATGTTTCCAGGAAAATGATTTGCCAAGTGGCAGGTATATCAACAACACAGCTAGAGAGATTTGTGGCACAAAGACCAGAAAATGCAAAGTTACAAAAAGGGATCTTTAATTTACAGCATGAGCAATCCTGTGGTTAATCTAAGCAGAACAATCCATTCCAGGGTGATCTAGCACTAGAGGAAAAAATAACACTGCAGAGGGCAGACAGTCCTGAGTTCTGGCAGGAGCAAATGCTAGAGGATTCATTAGCCTCTGAGTTATGGCAGGATTTGGGTTTGCCAGTTTTCCTGGACTAGGCAGGAACTAACAGATGCTTGGCTCAAAGGTGCTGTCAAGTGAGCTAGTCCTGGGAGAGAAAACACACTGGAGGCTGTTTGCCAATTTTTCATTTTTGTAATGTCTGCTGTTTCATTCACACCCTTCCTCTCATGCCAGCAGGGCTGCTCTGTGTGATGGGCTGAGCTGAGAGACAGGGTGACCCCATTGCAGGCCATGTCCTTATGGATAGGGCTCTGTCCCCTGATGTCTGAGGCAGGAAGGCAGGTGACAGCCTTCAGTGACAATTCTGACATGGCCAGCGTCCAGCTGGGAACAGCAGGAGATGGGCCTGGAGTTGAGCCCTCCAGCACTGAGTCCGAGGTGTGCTGAGGTGCAAGGCCCCAAAGGCAGGCTGGAAACAGGCTGCCCACTGTGAGAATTTGCCATAGGGCAGGGCTGGGCATGCACCCTGACCTGAGCTGCAGCTTCTGGGATCGTGGCAGGGATGGGTGGGAATCTCCATCCAGGGCCATGAAGTCCCTGCAGGCCCTGATGAGGATGTGGAGGTTGGGGCATATTTGAACAGAGCACTCACACAAGTGCTGGGCCTCCCACGCTGTAGCTGCACAGCCTGCAGAAGAGATGAAGTATTGACTCAAAATTCCCTGCCCCAAAGGAAAAGGAAACTGATGCCTCCTGCTAGCAGGGAGAGTAGAGAGGACGTAGTAAAAGACTGGAGTAACAGGAGGCAGTTTCAAGACCCACTTCTGAGATCCCTAAACTTCACTGATGATTGATTCTGGAGGTGCACTGCTGTGGGAATGCTATGTGTGTGGTTAATTCATTGGTAGGCATTGCAGTTACTTCTGTATATCCAGATGTGGTTCTGGGCATGCCTGCTCCTCTTTCTCTTGCAGAGCTGCAAAAAGGGGAAAATGGGAGGAGAGGCCACTGGACCACTAAACATATTTTATATTTGTGCATAAGTGGTTTTGTGTGTTACATGGCAAAGTTTGTTTGCTGACATTTCCTGCAGGTTTAACTATTTGGAATATGTTTTTAATTACTAAATTATTATAGATCCAAGCCTAATTGTGTTATATTAATAGACATGTTGGAGAGCAGCAGGGAGCAAAATATTTTGACAGACTAGTTGGTTTACTTACATGACTAAAGGTGTGGAAACTGTATACTTGAAAGTAAATGTCAAAAGCTTTCCATTTCCGAGACAAAGTAGCACCTGGATTGTGTGATATGTGAAAAAAAAAAACCAAAAAACCAAAATATCAATAAAAAGGAAGTTTTTACAGATGAAGCAGGAGATGTGTTGTGAAAACAAAAAGGGTCATCAGTATGAGCCAGAGATGATATATGCACTGCTTTCATATGCTCAGGGCTTATGTCAGAGGTGTAGGCAAAAAGTTGTGGTAAATATTACACTCTTATTGGTGGATAGCAACGAAAAAATGCCATTATCTCCAAGAAAGAGGTGAATAAGTTTTCAAGAACTGAAACAGGCACAGCAGAATAATAATGGAATACTGGAAAAATAATGAATATCGCTGGGATGGAGAGGTATTGTTAATACTTCTACCAGAAAAGTGGCATTAACAGTTGCAGAGGAAAACTGTTAAATGCATCTTGTATATCAAACTAATTTTCCTATTTTTGCTATGTAGTGGTCCAGATATGTTTGGTAAAGGTTATACTTCCGTTTAGTTACAAGGACCTGGGGCTGATGCCTCATTTGGGTGAGGTCACATTTAAACAGTGACTTTTTCTCTCTCTGCCCCCAACAGGGAGACACCTTATAAAGATCACAGAATTGCTAAGGTAGGAAAAAACCTCTAAGATCATTGACTCCAGACATTAAAGGTCTTGGATTCTTACCTCTGGGTTCATACTTTGCTGGATGTTAGTGACCTTGTGGAGGTTACTTTACATTTCCTTTCTTGGTTTCCTTCTGTGGAGACTTTGACAGTACCAAGGATATATTGCTGATTCAGAATCTGACAATGTGTGTCGTTGGTCTCTGGGTTCCTATAAAGAAAGTAGGAGTGTAATGGCAGGATAGCTGAGGATAGTTCTGACTGATTGTTAATCTTGAAGTGACCTCTCAAGAGCCTGGCTCTAACCAGCTGCTACTTGCCTAATAGTGTTGAGGAGCTGATAATTCCCTGGCTAGATGATAGATCCAGCAGTAGCTGGCCCTAAGAACAGTTACAGCTTTGTAAAGAGAGGTTTTAATACAGCCACGAGCCTTTCCAATAGAAGAGGGAGCAATGTGTAGCCAGGAGACATAGTTTTAATGGAATAGTAGTGTAGCTACACTGAGGAATGGGATTTAGATATCAGGTTGCAAGTACAGAACACGTTTAATCAAAAACTCCAGAAAGTGAGAGAGGGAGGGGAAAAGGTCAGTGGGATATTGAATATTTTCAAAGATATGCACAGAGAACCAGAGCTGAAATGGAACACAGGGTGTGCTCTCAGCTGCAGATCCATCACAGTGTTGGCAATTTTATTTTTATGGAACAACTATTGTCTTGTCACAGGATGAAAATTGCACAGTCCTCATCTTTTCAACACTGGAAGGGTTATGACTACAAAAGTCATATGATCTAAGAAAAGGATCACAGCTTTAGTCAGAATGAAGAAGTATTTCATACTGTAGAATGTAAAACTCCACATCACTTGAATTTTCTTTGAGCCTAGATCCAGGAGACCAGCAGATTGTTCAGAGGTGCTCTGTATTTATTTGCCAAGAAATTGTTCTGTGAAAAGGAGAATATTTAGGAAGGAGTGTTACTGACAGATGCTGACATCCCAGCAGACAAACAAGGAGTCTTGTTGAGGAGCTTTTTTTATCTTTTTAGAGCAGGCAAGGTATTTTGTGTCTCTTGACCATATCTGGTATATTAGAAACCCACTGTATAAAGATCATGAATATGGATTTCCAGTAAACAGTCTTTTTTTTCTTTTTTTCCTCTTTTTACATACTTTCACTGAGCACTCAGAAAGAAAGAAAACTTCTGTCTTCTGTTTTGCTGAGAACTACATTGGTAGGTGCATCACTAAATGTGTATTGCTAAACCTGGAATGCTGTATTCAAGAAGTCAGCCTTGTAAGGGAAGCAACAGCAGTCTGATTTTTGCTGTTGTATATGCTGAAATGGAGTAATGCTGAGAAAAATGTACTTTTTTAAAAATGAGCTTTTCTTTCCTCTCTCTGGGAATCTGATCCTTTGAGTAAATGAACTGCATGAGAATGAGCTGGGAAAGGCACAATGGGTCTCCCACAGAGGGAAAGGAAAAAAAATTTAGGTTTCTTCATTGCAAGGAAACAGGAGATGGGAAACAGGAATTTGTAGTTTAATTCTCATTTTCAGTACAACTTTTAAGCTGTGTGTATTTTAAACAATAGATCAGCATAATATTCAAATCCCAGTCTAAACTAGAACTTGTAGAGGATTTGAGGCAAAGTCCATAGCTGTGGAAACAAAGAGAGAGGGTGGAGCCTTTACCCATTCTGCTTCTCTGAGCTCTGAAATATTGCTGTCACGCTATACAAGAGAGTCATAACACGTATAGACCTATTTAGAGTAAATATAGCTAATAATCTATTGCACTGTAGTGTAATAATGCAGCATGTACTGGTGTGGTTGCCAAGCAGATAAAGTTGGAAGTGATTAGTTCCAACCTCTGAAAAGTCACATGAAAAAGAGCACATAAAGTCTCTCCTCAGCAGAAACAAGATGAGACAGAAACTGACTTGTCAAATTCAGAAGTTACTGTGCTAGCACAAAGTAACCACACTAACAAAAAGCAGAGAGTGATAGCAGGTCCACTATTTTATCATACCTTCATTTTCCTGATTTCTCAGGAGTCAGTGAATGACAGATACAGATGATTGTGTGATGGGGGATTGGAGCAGAATGGACAAAGGGAAAATATCAAAAAGCTCTACCTCTTCCTCTTTTCGTCTTTAGCTTCATAAATAATCGACTTTATACCTACATTTTAAAAGTTGCCTGGTCACTTATCTCCATGGTGTATTTAGGGTACCTTATTCTGTTTGCAAGTGGGCTTGGTGCTGTTACCTGGGCTATCACATGATGCTTGTAAATTATTTTATCTGATAAACATGTCTCATGCTAAGCTGTGCATGCTCTCATGTGTCAGCCTAGTTCTTTACATGGCTTTAATGCTCAACAGATACAAGTGCCACCTTCTGTGCTAAAAGGAGAGAGCTGAATGTATTAACTGGCAGAAAACTCATTTAAGTCACCTAGTCAACTACTTAAATTATTAGTTTTTCCAAGTTTTTAATTCTTTTTTTAATTAATTTATAACCTCAATAATGTCAACATTGCATTAGAGAGCAACCACCTAAGAACTCTTGCAATGCTCTGCATAAAAAAAAATTGTCATTAAGTATGATCAGCATCTGACTTTTTATTAGTTAATATCACTGATAACATTAAAGACTTAAGCTCTTAGGGAACTTGCTGTAATTGTTCAGTCTTTCAAAGTCCATACTTTTCTGAAAACAGTGTGTTTATATTTTCTGTAGAATGCAAGAGAAACAGATGTCCTCCCGTGTGCATTCCAGCTTATTTTGGCATCATCTCAGCTGATTCCAGGTGACTAAGGCAGATATCTAAAAGAAGAGGAATGAGAGAACTGAAGAAAAATGACAAGAAAAAGGAAATTCAACTTTCACCATAATTGGGGCCTGTGGAAAGTTCAGGTCTTTACCTCTTCCAAGCTGTATTCTGCTTTTCACTTGCAAGGAAACTTGTTTTTTGTTTCTGAGTATTTTCCCAGCTGTTGTCTCACTGTACGTGCTGCCCTAGAGATGTGTGTGTGTCTGTGGGTGTTGCTGGAAATGTAGTGTGCTTCCCCCACATCCACTGCAGCATACAGTTTACTTGCTTGGTTTGCTTGTGTGATTAAGGTAAGTGCTAAAAATGTTAGCAGCCTAGAACCATTACAAGTCTAAAAGTTGTTCTTTCCTCTCTTCTCTTCTAGGCTTGTGACATATGGCCTTTCCCTTGCTAGAGTTCTGCAATCCTTCATGGTCTTAGCTCTAAAAAGCCATTTGTTTGAGTTGTTGTATGCCCTTAGGCAAATTAAGACCCTGGTGAAACAGTTTAGTCACAGTCTGGTCTAGTCCACAAAGAATTTGAAAACAGTTAAGGCTAAAATAGAAGGATTTTTATGGTTCCTTGCCATATTTTATCTTCAATATGTACCTCTTAAATTGCCCAAACCTTTAGTCAGTCCCACTGGACCATTTTTTTTTCCCCTTCTGGAGATTTTTTTTTCCAATACCTTGGATTTGATCTGGTCTCTCCCTCTGACACAAATTGACCAGCTAGCATCACTATGTAAGAAAACAGCCCTCTAGTTTAGCTTGCATTCATGTGGGTCTCTTGTCCTTGTGGTCCAGTTTTAACCTGAGATTTTCCAACACCATATTCTCTCAAAACACAGTGAAATTTCTTTTTTATGTCTTATGTCTTATGTTGGGGGGTGATTATGGAGTGTGGGTGAGAATGAGGAATAAGGACAGGAATGCAAGAGACTTTTGTTTCTCTAGTTTTCTGTACTGATTTCAAAGCAGCGAGGCTAGTTCAGCACAGCTGGCAAATTTTTTTTAAATTCTGGCTGGAAATAAAGAGAGGAACAGGGTGAAATTTCCCTCTCTCAGTTTTATCTAACTCCACTTATGGTTTTGGTTGCAAAAAGGTACAGGTATGTGAGAATTCAAACAAATAATTTTTGGGCATACTACCTTCCTGTGGAGAGAAATGGAATAGGAAAGCAGAGAGAGCCCCCCTTTCTGTATGTGTGGTGGCCAAGATGGGACCTGCTTAATCTCTGAAGTGCTTGAGACTGAAAGGGGCGATGGTACATGTGTCAGGCACTTTGTACTTCTTTATTTAGTGTAGGAATTGCTGATATAGCTCAATACAGTTTCTTGCTTACTGACATGTAAATGATGAAATCCTGTTTCTGGTTGAATCTTACTTCTATCTTCTATAATGGTTGCCCACAGCTGTTGGGCAGGTGAAGTTCTTGTGCTGATCAGAGATTTTTTTTCCTGGTCCCTAGAATGGAGGATATGTTCAGAAAATCTGGTATTCGGGCTTTTGTCTGCATTTATTACTTGAGTGAACTCCTGGTCTACAATCGTTCAACACCATGAACTGGAAAACAGATCTGGGTATCTCAGCTCACCTGGTCAGCAATACAAAGGAAGTTCAGAGATCTAATGGGCAGGAAAAGATAAGAAGCTAGCCAAAGACAGCAGAGAATGCTGGATATTTTAACTCTTCCTAGACACAGTGACTTCTGAAGCTGTGATCCATTATCTATTTTACAACAGATGGTGATAACAAATTGATGTGTACTTTTATTACTGTACATGGAAAGAGGAAATTAGCTGCAATGTCTAACAGGCTTCAGAGAGAAATAAATAAAAAGCCAGAGGGTATAACAGAAATGTTGTGGGCTTTTCACTGGAAACATTACAAAATATGTCTATGAACTCTTTCATGGTTAAATGTTCTTTTGGATCTGTTATGGTTTACCCCCCACCAGGCACTAAACCCTAGACAGCCACTCACTCACTCCCCCAACACCACGATTGTGGAAAGAATTGGAAGGATAAAAGCTAAAAAACTCGTGGGTTGAGATAATGACAGTTTAATAAGGAAAGAAAAAGCTGGATATGGAAGCGAAGCAAAACAAGGAATTAATTCACTGCTTCCTGTGGGCAGGCAGGTGTTCAGCCATCTCCAGGAGAGCAGGGCCCCATCATGCATAAGAGATTGTGGGAACCATCACTCCAAATGTTCCCTCCTTCCCCCTTTTTCCCTCACTGTACATACTGAACATGATTTCATATGGTCTGGAATATCCTGTTGGTCAGTTGGGGTCAGCTGTCCTGGCTGTGTCCCTTCCAACCTCTCACGCATCCCCAGCCCTCTTGCCAGCGTGGCAGCACAAAAAGCAGCAAAGGCCTTGGCCCTGTGTGAACCCTGCTCAGTAATAACAAAAACATCTCTGTATTATCAACCCTGTGTTCAATACAAATCCAGAACACAGCCCCGTTCCAGCCACCATGAAGAAAATTTTTTCTGTCCCAGTCAAACCAGCACAGGATCCCAGGAGCTTTTGACTAAAACAATTTCTTTGACAGTTTCAGTGCTGCTTTCTCTAAATCTCAGAGGTAGCATAGGACTGATACAGCTGTGATGGCAGCAATGAGACTCAGAATCATCCTGAGTACAGACAGATGGATTTTTCTTTGGAAAAATAACCCACCACCTTCTGTATTTAGAAAAGGAAATCACTATCCTAGTGATCTTTCAGAGAATTTTTTTCTGGTTTTGAGGGCTTTTTTTTGTATTTGCCTCTTCACATTCTTTGGTGACAATTTGATTTTTATTTTCATTTAAGACTGTTACAAGATGGACATTTGGTTTATGGAGTGGTTTATGAAAGCTTTGCTTTCTCTGTAGGAACGATGTGATCGAGCTGGTTTATGTGAGTAGTGAAGTGCAAACAACCACGTTCAGGAGAGGCCTTGCAAACCATTTTGGGAACTCTAGCTGTGTCTGAAAACTCCTCTGAGGCAGCACAAGTGGAAGGAGTATTGTATTTACAAGCACAATTTGTTGTTGTGCAGTGAGAAGTGTCTTGATAAATACTCCAGTGAGGACAGCTGGTACTGTTTGGTTTAATTTCCAGACTGCTCTGCCTTGTGCTGGCGCAGTGGCCAGAGAATTGAGGAGTATGAGCCTGACATTCCTGAATAACTTTTTAGAAAGCCATCATATGCTATCTACAGCAAGGTAACGGAAGAAAGATTACAAGGTAGTTTGAAGAGAAAGAGCTATATGGGTGACAGCTTAGCAAATGTGAATGATAGTTTTAGATAGCATATGGCCAGTGACTGAGGTAACTTTGTATTAGGGATAATTTAAAATTATTTTTAAAATATCTCGTATTTTTACAGTTGTTCCAATCTGTAGATGTCCTAAACCTTTCTTTAGTTTTAAACTAAAAGCTTAAACCAACTGTCTGAAACTGAAGAACTTGAGATCTAAATTTAGGAAGACTTTTCCCTTAGCTACCTGCTAGTACTCTTCAAATAAATGTATTTCTTTAAAAATAGAAATCCATTTTCTGCAGCACTTTTTTCCCGTCACCTTAAAATCACAAATTTGTGCATTCAATGTTCCTGTAATACATAATTCTCTTGCCTTTGTTTATTATTATTTTTTTATTTGCATGGTTTTGCTCATTGTATTCTACTGTGTTGTATGTTAAAATTTTAATTAACAATCTCTTTCCTCTAAAGTGAGGGGCTTTTCTCCATGGCTGATTCCATGAACACTCTCTGCAGGTCCATATGTGAATCTGGGTGGAACAAAAGGATCCATAATTAACCCATGACCAGATTTATGCTTTTCTGCTCAGAGTAATTGCACAGGACTTGGCCTTGGCAATCTTCTACCCATTTTGTGACAGTTTATGTCTTTCCAGATGAAACTAGTTATAGTTATTATGGTCTGTAGAGGGGCTAGGAAGAGAAATGTAGGGTCTTATCATGCAGTAGGTTCTTGGTGAGCATACTTTCTTATCCGAAGGGTTTATTTTAATATCCTAGTAAAGTGTCAGAAGTCTGATGGTAAAGCAGTTTCTTACACAGTGACCCCAGCAGTATTGTATGATGTGTATGATGTCATCTGTTACTTAACAGGATGAGTGTCTATCAGACCACACTTTGCTGAGCTCCTTTGTTATATATTCAGTGAAGAGAACTGTGTTTGTATAGCTGCTGCTTCCCTGGTTAGACTGGTGGGAATAACCAGGTAAGGCCAGCTGGACATCCTCACTGATGATCTTGTGTCTGGGGACTCCTCCTTTGCGGGATCAGGCTGTGTCATTCCTTAGCAGACCCCTCCATGTAGCTGCAGTTTCCTGCTGTTCCATCTGCCATTTGTACAGCCTTTTATTTCTAGTTACTTAGGCAACAAGTGCTGCACTCCAGCAGGAAAGTGTTCTGTCCACTACTCACAGTAGGCACTCCTTGCATGCTACTGCACTCCAAAATACCCCTGTGCTGTAATCCCTTCCTTTTCCCCAGGTGTTTACTGGGAGATGTTGCTGGGTGGGCAGCTCTGCATGTCTCTGCATTCTGCTTGCTCCAGACCCCAACATCCCTCTCACCTACAAGACTGCAGCTTTCAGTGGCTGTCTTGCAGTATGAGGGCCTTTCATCATGCCCCTGTAACCATGGCCATCCCCTGCTTGTAACATGGGATGAGATCTAGGTATGCATCACCCCCTTGCGTGGCCATATCTATTTTTGAAGAAAAAGGTTTGGGGGGGAGGGGAGCTAGCCACAGCACACAGCCTCTGTCCTTACCAGCAGATTGTCAAAGCAAGCCTTCAAGGTGCACCTCTAAGCTTAGCTGCTTTCAAAGTGAACACATCCCTCTGTTTGACTTCCTCTGTGCACTGCGAGAATGCCACCCTTGCCAGATGATGTTCCTGGACCTGCATGGGAAAGATGCTGCAGGACACATTGTGAAGCATAATATACAAAGGAAGCTAATTTGGCCTTGGAGGGACCTTGTACTAACCAAGAGGTGGTAGAGCTCTGCTCCTGTTTTATACTCCTTCCATTTTCCAGTAACTCCTTTTACTGTCTGGCTTTATTTGAAGCAATTGAGTCACTACAAGTTCCTGCTGCTTATGACCCATTGCAGATGTACCTGGGCTAGCTCAGTGTGGAGCTAGGGTGCATCCAGTGCAGCTGTTAACTCTCACCCTGTCACGAGGAAGGTGCTGTACTGCTTCTCACCAGAGCTGGTTCCAAGAGTAGTGTCAGTGAGTGAAGTCACATGGGAGGACTACGGGAACAGTCAGTATATGCAGGGATGTGATGAGGAAGGCCAAAGCCCACTTGGAATTGAGTCTGGGATATCTAGGACAACAAGAAAGGCAACAGTGCATCAGCAGCAAAGGCAAGCTTAGGAAAAATGTGGGCTTCCTGTTAAATCAGGTGGATGTCCTGGTGGTAGAAGACAAAGAGAAGGAGGAATTACTGAATGCCTTCTTTTCATCAGTCTCAACTGCTGAGATCAGCCCTCAGGGAAAACCCTGCCTAGGCCAAGCTATCCATACATGGCTCACTGCTGAAGAATTATTTATTCTGAGCAGGCACCTTGTCCTATTGCTGTCTGTTGAGTTCAGCTTGTCACATTGTAGATCACATCAGCTTCAGTCAGTGAGAGTTTTAAAGTTACTGTACCACAAGGATGCAATCTGAGGGCCCAGAGTGAGAGGTCTGAGTGCCATAACCTGAGATAACTGTTGTACTTACTGCCTTCAGCTGTCTTTACTACCCTGGAGAATTTTCCACTTGCATAGGATGGCTTATATAGTTGTGTATAATCCCTGATCCTCTGTAGTTCAGGGTTCTTTGAAAATGAACTGAAACCCAAGAAAAGTTATCTAAATACATCCAGCTGTAGATTGCTGCTTAGTGACAGCACAAGTAGCTTGAGGTGTTTCTTTATGGGAAATAGAAAACTAAGAGAGAGGTGAAATAGGGAAGATGATAAGATCTCTTGCAGCCACTCAATTGTAGTTCCAACTCCTAACTTCCCTCTTGCTCATTTCAACCTGTTTTGTGAATGGGGGGGGGATACATTTTCTTTCACTATTTGTTTTTCAAGTTAATTGCAGTCCCCAGGAAGTGATTCTGGCAATTCTGAGCTTAGCTGCAATAGCGCCTGTCAAACTACCTTCCCTGGAATCTGTGGCAGACAGTTCTCCCTGATGATGAAGGGGATATCCAGTGGTATACCACTCCTGAAATATTTTTAGGCAATGAGGCGTATTTCAGATGTGAATTACAGGGGTAGCTTGCTGTATCCCCAGAAAATCTTTGACAGCTGTGTGAAGACACTGGAAACTTGCTACAGCACACTGGCAGAAATTAGTGTAAGCTGTGGACACTGACTTCTGGGACCTGTCCTGCCCTTACCCCATGGAGGTCTCAGTCTCCGGCAGATTTCCTGCAGACAAGGGATTTCCTGCTGCTTTGTCCTAGCTAAATAAAAGTCATTGCCAGCTCCAGTTGTATCAACCTAACCAAGTTCATGGTGATGAGTGAGAAACTGCTTACACAGTGAGCATTTCTCTCCCAGTGTTACTGACAGCTGATTTTACTGGGTCTAAGGCTGTAAGTTCTTATTACCATTGTTAAATTGTTCAAAATGAAATTCGTCCCATTACACAGATAAATAATATACTTGAGCAGAGGAACATTGAGGAAAAATGTTGGTCATCTTGCCAATTCATCCTGTTACAGTCTGTCACTTTATTTTCACTGGCTAAAGGAGATGTGTGGTGGTGGATAATTTGTTACTTAGCTTTCAGCTTTGCAAATTCCCTATGTAACTGATGTCAGTGTCAATCCTTATTATGGGCCCACCAAAAAAAACCCTTAAGTTTCCTGGCATACTTAGCTTTTAAGAATATTTCAGTTGCCTTCACATGTCTACAGACAGTGACTAAATTTCATAACAATTGTAAGTAAATAGCTCCTTTATTCACCTACAATAAACTTAAACAAAGATAAGTGCAAAAATTTTTTTGCAAGTGCAGTTTTAATACTAATAGCAAATCCAGTCACCAGTGTGAATAGAGAAAAACTTGGCAGAAGTTCCTTGCTAGGAGGCATTTTTGAATTGTATGTCCTCATATAAACTGAGTATGTCATTAGATTCTTGTGGTTTTGGCACCAGGGCAGGGATCCTTCGAATCTTCAGCCAGACTTAATGTGCATTGCCTGCAACTGCTTTCAATCTTGGCCTCATCAGTTTATTAGCTGCTTTCCCATAGTGTACTAGAGTGATAAGTTTTAGCTTAGTACTCTGACAGTTATTGATGTGAAGTTCTTAGAGCCCATAAGAATACTTATTGGAAGTAACTTTCCTCTTCCTCTTGCCACCTTCCTTTTCAACAGCTTCCTTCTCAATTTGAGCTATTAATTTTATCTTCACTTTTTAAAAAAATTGAATAGATACATGACAAAGAGAAACAAACTAAGAAGTACCCAGAATATATTGGGTGAAGGTCTGGGGTTGTGTTGCTTTGTTCACATAAAAATGATTTCCAATACAGCTGGTTTCTTTAGCTGCTGCATCTGTTTCTGCTTGAATTCTTCTTTTACAAACTTGGCAATGCATGAGAGGGAAAAAAACCACATATCAGCTATTTTTCACTTGTGCAGTAATTTCTATTTGCCTAGTCATAATACCTGCTATTTGTGGGAACTCATGTGCCTTAAATTAGGTGTGATTGCTTCTTCTTGCTCCAAAACTGTAATAGATTTTAATGTTAAACTTTGCAAACAATGAAACAAAGACATCAAGAACAAATAAGAGTGATTTCAGGTTCATGATACCTTCCGTATGACTGCCAAATTGCTTGAAGATTAACTGTCAGCTCAACCTTGCTTTTCATTTTGAGAGTTATATATAATGGAAATGGTTGTAAATTAATGCTGCTAGTGTAACTGTGGAGGATTTTCATCTGGGGCCACATCTGACCCAAAGTTCCTGGAAAAGACAGAGTACACTGCAGGGTGGAAGAGAACAGTCTTACTGCTGCAGAAAAAAAGAGTTTACAGATCTTCTTTTATTATGTTGTTTCTAATAGGAATCATCTTGATCTGTAAAAGGACCCCCAGTCTGAGAAGTGACCACACTTGCCGGAAAGACACTAGAACACTTCCGGGATTTTTTTAAAATTTTTTTTTTTTAAATTTATCTCTTTTGTGCAGACAAAAGGGAAGTGTATTTTTGTTTGTTGTTGTTGCTGTTTGGTTTGGGTTTTTTAATTTTTGGTGGTGGTGATATTTTTAAACAGAAGTATTTTGTTCTGTCTTCTCAGAGCTTTTGGTAGAAGTATATACGCTTCTTTGCAACACACATTTTTGGGTTGGAATTTGAAAGTTTAGGGAAGATGTAGTGGTGGCATTTTTGGTAATATTCTTTTCTAGAGAACATTTCCATGGAACAGCAGACAGAAGCTGGACAAGCTGGTGGACTGAGATTGTTTTGCCTGCTTGATTTTAGTGTTTGTTCTCCTTTTTTAGTTCATTCTGTTTTTAGCACTCTGTCTGTCCCCTGGGCTCTGTTCCTTACACCAACTGGATGGTTTTAGGAACTCTTACACTGAATTTCCCACTGGTAGCCAGTGTTTTGTGGAAGTTAGGTCTTATCTCAGTGCTTTGGACACTATCTCTCTCTCCTGCAAAAATGGAGGCAGTCCTGGCACACCTAAATCCCACAGGTTTGCTACTGGTCCCATTTTCAGATGGCGGAATTATGCCCTTTACTGTCTTTAAAAAACAAATTTTCTGATTCTTGGGAACAAAATGTTAGAATGGGACCTAGTTAGTAGATGCTTACAGCAGCTTAAACTTCTATGGTGGTATAAAACTCTCAGCACAGGAACCAAGTCCTCATAGCCCCTAAACTTGCAATGAACCCCACCACACCTCTGATGATAGGTGGCTAAAAGTTTTTGAAAGGATAATAAAAGTACTTCAGCCTGCCAAAGGAAGAAGAAACAGGTAATGAGTGGCAGCAGGGGAAGTTGTCAGAGAGGGGAACTCCAGGTCTGGGTGACCAGGGAGCCTGGATAGATGATAGCAGAGATGATTCTAGGGAAAATGGCATTTGCAACTCAAAAACTAGCACTGGGATCTGCTAACAGGGTATGTGAGTCGTGGCCTACCCTACAACTGTTAGATAACTCCTTTGGAGTGAATACTGCAGTTCTGGCAGATTTTTACATGGATGATAATTTCTGTCTTCTGGCCAGAGTGCAGGTACAATAGGAGGAAGTCTGTGTGTCTGGAAATTTGATTCCCATTCCAGTTTCAAAAAACAACTAAATAATAGGGGAGAGAAATAGCCAATGAGTTAAAATTTCAAGGCTGTTTGTCAACATTGAATTAAGCAACAATATCTGCATAGGAAGCTGAAATTAAGCCTTATTCTGTCATGCTTGGTTTTCTTCTTTTCTTAGAGGAAGAAAAAAAAGACACCTACTGTTTCTGGATAATTTCACCTAGTTATTTCAAAGTCTTAGATGAAATTAGAAGGAGATCAGGACTAGTTGCTTCAGAGTAGGTTCTTCTGCCTTCTGAAATAAGTTCAAAATCAGCTAACGTTTCCCAGAAACTTCATTGGTATCATAAGCCCTAGGATACTGACTATCTGGAAGATATGTGGGGAGCTAAGTCCCACCATATTCTTCAGATTTTGGGTTTGGAAGGCTTCTGTCAGATACTTAGCCTTATATCTGTCAGATCCCTGCCTTATTCTTCCAAAGAGTAAATGCACCTCAGAGCATTGTATTTGGTCATCTACCTATTTAAGACCATTCAGAAAATCAACCTTGGAACTCTCTACAACCTTTTGAGCAAGTTTCTTTTTGTTGTATTCTGCCTCTTTCCGACTTTGCTTCTTTGTTTCTTAAATACAATATAGCACTTTTGTCTTTTTGATATCCTGCAATACTCATACTCCTATCCAACTCCTTACCCCATGCAATCCCAGTCAGAACTCTGTTTATATTATGTTCTTCTGGATTATTCTCCATGTTCCTATTTGTGGGAAATCTTTAAGGACTTTCATCAGATTTGCTGCTTATTTCCTTCACCTGATTGTAATTTTTTTCTTCTCTCTAACCTAGGATTCCAATGTGTTATCAAGACCACATTATCCTTTTGTCTTCTCTGTAGGCTTATGTTTCTGTCCTTCAACAGATATTCCAGTTAATTCTTGTGCTAACCACAGAGGGAATAGATGCAACAAATCAAAATAAGAGGGGTTAACATTTTACCAGGAAAGGAACGGGGTGAGAGCTATACAAATACATTTCTGGCCTAAGTTTCTTAGAACA